TATCAATGTGCTGTTGTTGCGGTCATAATCGATCTCCATTCCCAGAATAAACTTAGCCGCTACTAGCTCCTTCATCTGGAAAGAATCTTTAAGAGCTATTTTCACGTCCTGGACCTCCTTGTTTGTCTTGGCCGCGATTACCATGTCGTCGACATAAAGGGACACGAAAAACGTAATCTCCATCCTTGACCTCGATGTAGACGCACTGATCCGCTTCACTGCTTTTAAAACCTATGCGCATGAACACCGCATGAGTAGTCTTGTTCCACGTACTTGCTGCTTGCTTCAGACCGTAGATCGCTTTGTCCAGCTTGCACATCATATTCGTCGAATTTGCTGTACCGTGAGGTACCTCCATGAACTCTTGTTCTCTCAAATCGCTGTTTTAAAACGCTGTGTCGACATCCAGCTGCTCCGTAAAGTAATCTTTCGCAACAATAACCGACAGTACAACCCTGATGGATCTCATGTTTGCGACGGGTGAGTACGTCTCAAAGAAGTCCACATTAAACATTTGCTTGAATCCTTTCGCGACGAGTCGATCCTTGTAACGCATGACTTGTCCATGCTCTCTGCGCTTCTTTGCAAACACTCATCTGCATCCGATTGGCGAAACACCTTTCCGTCTTGGTACTAGCGTCCATGATTCGTTCTCTGCGTGCGCCTTGAGCTCTTCGTTCATCGCCATTATCCACATGTGAGCATCGTCGCTGTTCATCGCTTGTTGAAATGTTGATGGAGCATCGTCTGCTTTTCCAACACTTGCAGCATAAGCTAATACTTCTTCAGCGAGTAACGTGTCTTCATCAACTCGGGGTCGCTTCGGCGATGGTGGCCATAAGTGGTCATCGTTTTCCGAGTCCTGATCACTGTCCATCTTGAATTCGTCGGCTGTCGTTGAATCATGTCAAAGTAACAGAACTGACTCTCTAGTTCGATGAAGCCTCTTCGTCTCCGGATAAAATACAATGCCGTCGTGAGTTGCTGGATCTCTCACCCGCCGATATGGTGTTATTTCTTTTCCGTCGCTTGTAGGGTCATTGTCACAACTATTCATATCCACGTCATCGTCAGTACCTTCATCTGGATTCATTGGCACGTCAAATGTGTCTTGTGTCGGCTGTTTCTGGTCTTGTATATCATCAACTGTTGATCTTACCTCTTTGTCCTTCGTTACTTGAACAATCTTGGGCTCGGATACTGTTTACGTTTCGTAGATGCTGTTCACCTCGCGCTCATCAAGCCTTAGAGACCGCGTTGTCTTTACCTTCTTCGTCTTCAGATCATATACTCGGTATCCCTTAACGTTCGCTGGGTATCCGAGGAACATGCACTGGTAACTCTTGGGCTCCAGCTTCGCCCTTTTAGCATCGTCAATATGTGAATAGCGTTGAGATAGGAAAACTCGTAAATGTCCAAGCTCTGGTTTCTGCTTGAACCTCAGCTCGTACGGCGTGATGTTCGAGCTTGCCGTGTTTGTTGTTCGGTTGATAAGATACACCGCCGTGCTGACTGCTTCCGCCCACCATTTGTACGATACGCCCTTGT